TTAGTGCTGACCAGTGTGAGAGATGGGAGTGCAGAGGTGACAGTTCCCTGGTGTCATTCTCACCCTGAGGCTACAAGAGCCGGGGGTCAGCAGAGGTACGAGCAGCATGTGAAGATCGAGGCCAGGGGGCTGCACCTGTGTGACACTGCTGGGAAAGATGAGAGTCAGTCGTGGAGTGAGAGACCCACACACTGTCCTGATCCCTGCGCAGAGACACTGCTGTCAGCAATGGCATCAGCACAGAGCAGGGCTGTGTCTGCCCCTGCCCTGCAGTCTCTGCCCTGGGCCCAGGGACGGTGCATTTACATAGAAGCGGCTCTTTTGCATAAGGACAGCGCCCTGCTCTGGGGAGCAGCTATAAAGGGGCCGGTTTAACGCTTGGTGTCTCTCAGCTCCGTGTCGGTCGGTGAAGAAGCAGCAAGATGCTGTGGCAGACTCAGCTCCTCTGGCTCCTCGTGCTCTGGGCAAAGGGTAAGGGCAGCAGTAGAGCAGGGAGCAGCCCAAACCTGTCAGTAGCTTCCAAGGCCTTGATGCTGATTCTGCTTTATATGAAACTCCTAATGCTGTTGCCTTTCACCCTCTCTAAAAAGACAATTAAGATTTCTCAAAAAAAAATTACAGATAAAAAATGCCTCATCTCCTTTATCTGCTCAGTATTTTCATTATAACTTTCCATCTTTCTTTTCATTATTTCTCTCCTATGCAGGCTCCAGTGGAGACATCCTCATCACTCAGACTCCAGAGTCCCTGGCAGTGTCTCCAGGGGACACAGTCACCATCAAGTGCAAACCCAGCTCCAGTGTTAGCAGCAGCTACATGCACTTCTACCAGCAGAAACCAGGGCAGGCTCCTAAGCTCCTTCTCTACAGCACAAACAGTCGCCCCTCCGGGATCTCTGATCGGTTCAGTGGCAGTGGGTCTGGCACCGACTACACTTTCACCATCAGCCGGGTGGAAGCTGGAGATGCTGGAGATTATTACTGTCAGCAGGGTGATAGTACCCCTCCCACAGTGCTACAGCCCCGTACAAAAACCTCCCTGCTCTGCTCAGTTCTGCTGCTCCCGGCACCAGCTGCTTCCTGCCCAGCCACAGGCCAGGGACTCTCCTGCCCCGCTACAGCATGAACAGGGGCTGAGCTTTTTTCTGGCTTTTCCCCATCACTTCTCCCCCTCAGTCACAGATCTCTGACTCGGCCCCACAGACCTCCCACCATTGACTTATGGCACACTGCTCAGTTGTTTCCTTTCATAGATTCATAGATTCATAGATGTTAGGGTCGGAAGGGACCTCAAAAGATCATCAAGTCCGACCCCCTGCATAGGCAGGAAAGAGTGCTGGGGTCAGATGACCCCAGCCAGATGCCTATCCAGCCTTCTCTTAAAGACCCCCAA